TCTGATATCCCAGAAATTTGACTGACTTGGAGTTACATTGTGTTTTGTGAGTGTGCACTAAATATTATCACTAAGTGAGCAGTATTCAAATGTATAAATGTCTCAAATGAGTTTAGTCTAAAATGAGGTTAGTCTAAAATGAGTTTAGTCTAAAATTAATTTAGTTCATTAAAGTTCCCTTGAGCTGCCACAAAATGTTCCTAGCACCTATACAGTGGAAGCAGATGGAGTAGGGGGATCAAATCTATGAGCATTAGGCCCCAGTTCCAAAACAGGCATGTCAAACTCAAGCCCATGCAGGGTCAAATCCAGCCTGCAAGATTAATTTTGAATCTTTTCTACGAGGGTTGCACTGATACAAGTATGAGTACCTTCATTTGAGTATTTTCTGATACCAAATACCAATACAATTGTGTTTTCCCTTGGACTTCATACAACTGATATTTAAAATGTTTAAATTCTCATTTCAACAATCAGAAAATGCTTCAACAATTAAAAGTTTTAACAAGTATTTTTAACAGTCAACAAGAGCCACTATTGATTCCTATTCATTTAAAAAGGTGGAAACAGTGGAAGTTTGTGAATGGGAAAAGGTCCGAGGCCCACATGGAAATGTGAATCTTTGCTCAGGTCTGCTTTGAATTATTTAGTCATTTGGTCCTTTGGTCAGTAATACGTATTTTTAAAGTTATATATGTACATGTGTAAGTGTCATGTATTATGTCGGCCCAGATAAGAACTTCCTTTTGGGCTATTATCTTTTCTGTGTTTTCTTTCATATTATAATTTTGATGTCTTCTAAATGCCCAAACAAACCCTTGAACTTGAACAGAATTGAACATGCATCATCTTTAACAGCATGTGATTAGAGTATAGAAAGATTGCTTTGTTTCAACTTTCTTCCTTAAATTCACCCCCAAGTGACAGACTCTTCATTGGAAAAGTTTCACAGTTACAGTGCTGCTCTCATCCCCGGAAACTCGTTACATTTATTGCAAAGGTGAAAGTGATAAATTGTAGAAGATAATATCTCTTTAAATCATGGAATGTCCTGTACCAGGCTGTGCAAAGTTACTGTGGCGTGAGAAAGAAACCGTTTTTAGATTTAACACAGAGACAAAGCACTCCAAGGCACACGCACTCTATAAATATCTATCTAAAATAAAATGGAGAAATAAAACATCTGTCGGTTTGTTTTGGCCGTGAGGAGCTAGAGCGCCCCAATGTCCCCTGTTCTGCAGCTTAGTTTAACTTAATGTTAGTTTTCTCTTGACCCTTCCAAGTGCATATTGCATTTACGGCACTTGTTGGTGTCATAGTGTGGACTTTATGACCAGTTTTATTTTGATGCATCCGTCTCCTGTTATAAGTTTAATTCCTGTCTGTTGTGATGATTGCCTGCTGCGTATTTAAACCTTAAACCCTGTGCTCCTCTGCTCTTGTTGTCGGTCAATTGCGTTCTTGTCTGCATCAGGTAAATGTTTCAAAGAAAGTGCATTGTGACCACATATGCGTCAATAAAACCCTCAGGTTTTTATGTTGTAATATAACACCAACAGCTGAGATGGAGGAAAACAAAATGATTGAATGATGAGGTTTTTAAAAGCATTGTTGACTTATGATCCAAGCTTTGTTAATAACACAATGAATGAATTGTACATTTAATTAATTTTATATTAGCAAATTTGAAATACATTACTCTAAAAGCCTCCAATGTGTGGAATCTGACCTGCATGTTTAGAATGAGCTTGGACAAAAATGAAAAATGTTCAAGAAATATTATTACAAATATGGCCATGCAGACCTTGCTTATCTGTACTCAGTATTAATAACTCAAGGATAGTGTGGCGTCTCTATTCTGACATATTTCAATACACATCATATAAAAGGCTGTGTCTTCTTTTTTTCGATCTGGAAACTCGAGGACAAACCGTGTTACAAGTGCGACCGTTTGTTCCTCTGCTGTCAAGTGTTAAAAAGTGAGAATAATTATCATGGTCTTCCTTTATCGCTTAAGGCAGTGCACCTGGTCCGTCCAATGTAACTGTCCTTATCCAATAAATAAAAAACCGGAGGCAAACATTACCCGTTAGCTTCCATGTCAGGACTTATTTACCATCTACTTTAACAATAAAGGTGCGTTCTGAAGCGACCAAACCTGGATGGAGTCAAATCAACAGCCCTAATCAATAATAATAAAGTTATAGGAGTAAAAATACATTTACTGTATGACATGCATAAAAGACATTCATAGAATGTCTTAGAGTTACTACTACAGACAAGTAGACAAGTCATTTCGGTAGAAACAAAGGGAAAAAGCACAAGTAGCTTCCTGTTTTTGGAAGCTACTTGTCTGAGTTATGAGAAATGCGGTGAGAGCTTCCTGTTTTGGTCTTGCTAAGAAGGAAGACCTAGAATCAGATCAAGACTAAGTTCAAGACGTTGCTTCTTCTATATATGGGGCCAAAGATGAAACTTCCAGATGCTCCTCCAGTTTGCACATTTGATATAACTGATTAACTGAACAGTCAGTCTGAGCCAGGGACAGACAGAGGACTTTGCAGAGTACCTGGGAGTCCTCAAAGGCAGGGCAAGGCAAAGCAAGTTTATTTGTATCACACAATTACACAATACACAAGGCAACTCAAAGTGCTGAACAAACCGCTATTAGTTAGCAACACGTGGTTGAGTGGCTTCTCGCTTCTCAGCAAGAAGGTCCTGGGTTTGAATCCCGGTCTGAACAGGGTTTTTCTGATTGAAGTTTACATGTTCTCCTTGTACCGGCGTTGGTTTCCTCCGGGTGCTCCGGTTTCCCCTACCACTACAAACATGTACAATAGATGAAATCCTCCAGCTCCAGTAGTCCTGACCAAGCCGAGCATCAACATCTGGAGATGGGTTCCTGGAAACTGTTACTACGACGACCACTGCTCCTGACGTAAGCCTTAGTGGCATCAGAATGGGTCAAATGCAGAGGATGAATTGCCCTACGGGGATACATACAGTGGGGCAAAAAAGTATTTAGTCAGGCACCGATTGTGCAAGTTCTCCCACTTAAAAAAACTTCAACTGTGAGAGACAGAATGTGAAAAAAAAAAATTCATGAATTCACATTGTAGGATTTTTAAAGAAAATAAGTACTTGGTCAATAACAAAAAATCAACTCAATACTTTGTAATATAACCTTTATTGGCAATAACAGAGGTCAAACGATTACTATAGGACTTTACCAGGTTTGCACACACAGTAGCTGGTATTTTGGCCCATTCCTCCATGCAAATCTTCTCGAGAGCAGTGATGTTTTGGGGCTGTCGCTGAGCAACACGGACTTTCAACTCCCTCCACAGATTTTCAATGGGGTTGAGGTCTGGAGACTGGCTAGGCCACTCCAGGACTTTCAAATGCTTCTTACGGAGCCACTCCTTCGTTGCCCAGGCGGTGTGTTTGGGATCATTGTCATGCTGGAAGACCCAGCCGCGTTTCATCTTCAAAGCTCTCACTGATGGAAGGAGGTTTTGGCTCAAAATCTCACAATACATGGCCCCATTCATTCTTTCCTTAACACGGATCAGTTGTCCTGTCCCCTTAGCAGAAAAACAGCCCCAAAGCATGACGTTTCCACCCCCATGCTTCACAGTAGGTATGGTGTTCTTGGAATGCAAGTAATTCCAAGAACACACTCATTCTTCCTCCAAACACGACGAGTTGAGTTGATACCAAACAGCTCTACTTTGGTTTCATCTGACCACATGACATTCTCCCAATCCTCTGCTGTATCATCCATGTGCTCTCTGGCAAACTTCAGACGGGCCTGGACATGCACTGGCTTCAGCAGGGGGACACGTCTGGCACTGCAGGATTTGATTCCCTGTTGTCGTAGTGTGTTACTGATGGTAACCTTTGTTACTTTGGTCCCAGCTCTCTGCAGGTCATTCTCCAGGTCCCCCCGTGTGGTTCTGGGATTTTTGATCACCGTTCTCATGATCATTTTGACCCCATGGGATGAGATCTTGCTTGGAGCCCCAGATCGAGGGAGATTATCAGTGGTCTTGTATGTCTTCCATGTTCTGATAATTGCTCCCATAGTTGACTTGTTCACACCAAGCTGCTGGCCTATTGTAGATTCACTCTTCCCAGTCTGGTGCAGGTCTACAATTATTTTCCTGGTGTCCTTCGACAGCTCTTTGGTCTTGGCCATAGTGGAGTTTGGAGTCTGACTGTTTGAGGCTGTGGACAGGTGTCTTTTATACAGAGAACGAGTTCAAACAGGTGCCATTAATACAGGTAACGAGTGGAGGATTGTCATTGACTGTCATTACTTTAAGTGGGAGAAATTGCACAATCGGTGACTGCCTAAATACTTTTTTGCCCCACTGTAAAGTGCACCTTTAGTTTTCAGGGCAGGAGGGTCAGTTAATTTGGCTTAGCTAATAGGGATAGTCAGGGAAATATGAGCTCAAGAGTTTTGGATTAGTTTTTGACTGTAAGGAGAATTAAATGTTATTCATTCAAACTCATGGAATTCTTGGTCTTCCTTTCTAGTCGAATGTTGAATCATGCTACAAAAGGCTCATCCATAAAAAAATCTTCATAGCATTTTTTATGATTACTACTACATACTGTACATGCAAACAATGGACATTTAGCAGTCCAGTTAAAGTGACAGTAGAATAAGGAGACGTGATATGGGCAGGTGCCGGTGAGGGGCAATCGATGACATTGTATATAAATATTTACACAATCACTTGTGCCGTGTGCTTCTCTTTCCTCCTGTTCTATAACTTGTGATGCAACACTGAAATTTCCCCACTGTGGGACGAAAAAAGGATCTCTTTATCTTAATCTCATCGTTGTGATATTTGTTTAATCACCAAGATAAAAAATAAGCAGATCAATGTTTATCACAATTATTTAAACAATGATGAAAGATGAGCACCATTGAAAAGACCATGGAGTAAACTAAAAACAGGTGTGTGGAGGCGGACGGGCTAGAGGGGGGTATGGGTACTTTTGAAGAGGAGGATGAAAGGTGAAACAGATGCAGTATTAGGCTCTCCTCCATCAGAGAGGTTCACAAGCCTTCACTGTGAGGCTGAGGGAGAACGTTTTTGATTTCCACAGCCTCCTGACTGGGTATTATTAATTAACGTCCTCACTAGATCAGATTCAGTTAATATGCAGTAAAACCACATTGGAATACATGTACAAAAGTCCCTAGTGTGTATCAGACAAGTGCACACAAAAAACAAGCGGAAAAAGTACAAGAAACAATTCAAACTGTGAAATCAATCAATTACAATACAAGTGCAAGATCATAAAAGTGCTTTGTTCAGACTGATAACAACGAACTATAGCTTCTGCCAGAGGGAAGAAGCTGGAACATGGCATTTTCAGGGGCCAGAAGAGTCATTGATTATTCTAAGAGCTGGATTTAAGATTCTGGATTCATAAAGAACCTCCAGAACAGACAGCTCAAAGTCCTCTTTCAGAGTGGAGCACCTCTCCATGGTCTCGCCCTGGTCTCTCTCTGGTATCTCTCTCTCTCTGGTCTCCTTATCAGGTCTCTCTCTCTCAGGTCTCTCTCTGGTCTCTCTCTCTCTCTGGTTTCCTTCTCTGGTCTCCTTCTCTCACTCTCTCTGGTATTCTGGTAGAATTTAAGTTCAGTAATGTTTGGATTTAACCAAAACAACAGTGTCAAACAAGAACACCATAACATATACTGTATATTTCTAAGTGCACATATGCTTTCTCATCTTTTTTTCTTCTTCTTCAATTTGGCTTCAATGCAAAAGTAGGACAACAAGAGCCTAAAGGACTGCGCAGACAATCAGGAGAAGAGCAGGTGGTCACGTTGTCTCTCTCTCTCTCTGGTCACTCTCTCTGGTCTCTCTCTGGTCTCTTTCTGGTCTCTTTCTGGTCTCTCTCTCTCTGGTCACTCTCTCTGGTCTCTCTCTGGTCTCTTTCTGGTCTCTCTCTCTGGTCTCTTTCTGGTCTCTCTCTGTCTGGTCTCAGGGCTGACGCAGGGAAAAGCAGTACTGACGTGAAGTGGGCTTTGACACATGCTCGAGCTGCAGGCCTGACTCTGCGGAGTGTGAAAAGGAGATATGTGGATTTACATAAGCTGATGCATGCTGGGATGGGGCTGATGCTGGGCGTCTCCACTCCAACAGAGTTATCGGAAATAAAATATGCGTTACAAATCCCCCAGGACGTTTAAATCACCTCATATAGCGCATACATATTCTACGGATTCAACACCACATTTGCTTCCGACGTGGCTGTTTAAAGGTGGTAAAGCAAAGTTCAGTATTTTGTTATTAGAATTCTAGTATCATTAACTCTTGAATCATTCCTCAAAAAATACCCCACGGTAAAAGGTGTTCTGCTATAATTTATTTTTGAGCAACTACCCCAAATAAGGCAAGGCAATTCTGGCCGTACTGGCATGCGTAAGACAGATCCCCTCCAACCTCTGAATCTATCGGGGCAGGCCCTGAGGGGGGCCGATGGCTCATCCTGGTTGCCTCGCTTCTGTCAGTGTGCCACAGGGCAGCTGTGGCTACAATAGTAGTTTATCACCACTGTGTATGGAGTGAAAGAATAATGACTTGTGCAGCATCTTTGAGTGTCCTGAAGAGCGCTGAATAAAACCTATACAAAAGTGTATTTGTATAGCACAGTTACACAAGTGCTGAACAAAACAAGATAGGAACAATAGAAGGCAATACAATTACACAAAATCACCGTACGTAAAAAAGAGTGAACATAAATCCCTCTGTTGTCTGCACAGCTAAACAGAACTTTTTTGACCTGAACATTGTCAGAGAAGAAGCCTGTCTCACGTTTTGTAATAGAACAAAATTGCTGTCTATATTGTGCATCTATTATGCGGTTTTCCCCTAGAGACATTTCTCTCATTAAATACTCAAGACTATACCTTTAATGGAGGATTTTACCGATGGTCCATGCTTGGAGAGCTGAGCAAACCCGGAGTGTCTGGAGGAAACCTATGTTGAGAAACATGTAAACTCCACACAGAGGCTGTGTCTGGCATGGGCATGGAACCAGCAACCTGCTTTCTGTGAGAGAAGCTCCGTCCACCGTGCAGCTCAACACCACCATAATGACAAAACTCCTTTTGGGCTCTGAATTCTGTGAATAGCACTTATAAATGCAATGTGGGAAAAAATGTCTACCCTTCGAAAAAAAAATAAGACTACAAAAAACGTGGTTGCAATCTAGACCAAAACTGGGGAAGGTGAAAAGAATTCTTTATCAAGCCTTAAGGCTTGATAAAGAATGTTTCTGTAATATTATTATATTTTGATAAATATAATACCCCCTGAGATGTTTATACCTGCAGCAGCTGTTTGCAGCTATATCAACATATATTCCACGTATTCAAGATAAGTTCAATTGTTGATGGCGCCATGTTAGTCTGCAGAGAGAACTGTGACAGCTCATGCAGAGTTTAATCAGTAAGTGTTATTATCCCTGTCTGAGCTGTCACCACTGCTGCTCTCTCCTCTCTCTCTCTCTCCTAATGGCCTGTGATTATACCTGCTGACAGAACTGATGCGAGGAGCCACAGGGCAGCAGGGCAGTCCGACTGTCCTGTAGCCTCATCTCTAAATGTTGTTGTATGTATTTGTGAATACTAAATGTTCTACCACCTTTGGAAGTTATCTAACGGAATTGATGCCCCTTGAAATACATAAAGTTGCCAACAACAACAGGTATTGTAGAATAAGGTCAAAAACTGGATAGATCTATGGCTAATCCCTGAAGTAGATTTTACTATAATCTAAATAAAGCTGTTTAAATCTGGCACATTGAACAGCCCAAAGAGAAAAGGGCAAGAATACTTTATATGTAATATATATTTACTTCTTTACCAGTAAAGAGGGAAGCGTCATCATTGTGCGACACCCCAGATCGGACACGGAAGCGGAGCTTTGTGTTTGCGGAGAGCAAACAACAACAGTAGCTCAGGGTTTCAGCAGAAAGAACCGTGTTTTAACCGAGGAAAATATGAGCTGTATTTTGATGCGTCTCCGCAGGATGTTATTCGGCAGAAGTATTGGTGTAATTTGAGTAGGTGCTCTGTGTGCTCTGGGGTTAGCCTTTAGCTGTGTGCACCTGTCACAGTTTTATCTCCTGCTTCCGCCACAGCCACAGCTACAGCTACAACTACAGCTACAGCTACAGCTACAGCCACAGCTACAGCTACAGCTACAGCCACAGCTACAGCCACAGCTACAGCCACAGCTACAGCCACAGCTACAGCCACAGCTACAGCCACAGCTACAGCCACAGCTACAGCCACAGCTACAGCCACAGCTACAGCTACAGCCACAGCCACAGCCACAGCTACAGCTACAGCTACAGCCACAGCTACAGCCACAGCTACAGCTACAGCTACAGCTACAGCCACAGCTACAGCTACAGCTACAGCCACAGCTACAGCCACAGCTACAGCCACAGCTACAGCCACAGCTACAGCCACAGCCACAGCTACAGCTACAGCATGCCCTCCTCTCACAAATAACAGCGCTCCCTCCGGCCTGTGCTTCCCGGACTCTTCTAACACTTGCCTGAGGCCAGATGCCCGAGCAGGGTCCCAGGATGAACGGCTTCTCTCTGGGTGAGCTGTGCTGGCTCTTCTGCTGCCCGCCCTGTCCCAGTCGCATCGCCGCTAAGCTGGCCTTCCTCCCGCCGCAGCCCACCTACTCCATGCACACAGACGCTGACGGAGCCACCACCCTGCACCTGACCGAGCGGGCGGACTGGCAGTACTCCCAGCGGGAGCTGGATGCGGTGGAGGTGCTCAGCACCAGGAGCAGCCGAGGGAACCGTGTGTGCTGCATGTTTGTGCGCTGCGCTCCCAACAGCCGCTACACGCTGCTCTTCTCCCACGGGAACGCAGTGGACCTGGGCCAGATGTGCAGCTTTTATATCGGACTGGGCTCCAGGATTAACTGTAACGTGTTTTCTTATGACTATTCGGGCTACGGAGCGAGTGGAGGCCGGCCGTCAGAGAAGAACCTGTACGCGGACATCGAGGCCGCCTGGCAGGTGCTTCGGAACAAGTGAGTAATGTCCTCCAGTCTCTGGGCTCTATGGTCTGTGCTCTATGGTCTGTGCTCTATGGTCTGTGCTCTATGGTCTGTGCTCTATGGTCTGTGCTCTATGGTCTGTGCTCTATGGTCTGTGCTCTATGGTCTGTGCTCTATGGTCTGTACTCTATGGTCTGTTCTCTATGGTCTGTGCTCTATGGTCTGTTCTCTATGGTCTGTTCTCTGGTCTGTGCTCTATGGTCTGTGCTCTATGGTCTGTTCTCTATGGTCTGTGCTCTATGGTCTGTTCTCTATGGTCTGTGCTCTATGGTCTGTGCTCTATGGTCTGTGCTCTATGGTCTGTTCTCTATGGTCTGTGCTCTATGGTCTGTTCTCTATGGTCTGTTCTCTGGTCTGTGCTCTATGGTCTGTGCTCTATGGTCTGTTCTCTATGGTCTGTGCTCTATGGTCTGTTCTCTATGGTCTGTGCTCTATGGTCTGTGCTCTCTATGGTCTGTGCTCTATGGTCTGTTCTCTGGTCTGTGCTCTATGGTCTGTGCTCTATGGTCTGTTCTCTATGGTCTGTGCTCTATGGTCTGTTCTCTATGGTCTGTGCTCTATGGTCTGTGCTCTATGGTCTGTGCTCTATGGTCTGTGCTCTATGGTCTGTTCTCTATGGTCTGTTCTCTGGTCTGTGCTCTATGGTCTGTTCTCTATGGTCTGTTCTCTGGTCTGTGCTCTATGGTCTGTGCTCTATGGTCTGTTCTCTATGGTCTGTGCTCTATGGTCTGTTCTCTATGGTCTGTTCTCTGGTCTGTGCTCTATGGTCTGTACTCTATGGTCTTTGCTCTATGGTCTGTGCTCTATGGTCTTTGCTCTATGGTCTGTGCTCTATGGTCTGTGCTCTATGGTCTGTACTCTATGGTCTGTGCTCTATGGTCTGTGCTCTATGGTCTGTTCTCTATGGTCTGTGCTCTATGGTCTGTTCTCTGGTCTGTGCTCTATGGTCTGTACTCTATGGTCTTTGCTCTATGGTCTGTTCTCTATGGTCTGTGCTCTATGGTCTGTTCTCTATGGTCTGTGCTCTATGGTCTGTACTCTATGGTCTGTGCTCTATGGTCTGTTCTCTATGGTCTGTGCTCTATGGTCTGTTCTCTATGGTCTGTTCTCTATGGTCTGTGCTCTATGGTCTGTTCTCTGGTCTGTGCTCTATGGTCTGTACTCTGCTCTATGGTCTGTGCTCTATGGTCTGTTCTCTATGGTCTGTGCTCTATGGTCTGTTCTCTATGGTCTGTTCTCTGGTCTGTACTCTATGGTCTTTGCTCTATGGTCTGTACTCTATGGTCTGTGCTCTATGGTCTGTGCTCTATGGTCTGTTCTCTGGTCTGTGCTCTATGGTCTGTACTCTGCTCTATGGTCTGTACTCTATGGTCTTTGCTCTATGGTCTGTACTCTATGGTCTGTGCTCTATGGTCTGTTCTCTATGGTCTGTTCTCTGGTCTGTACTCTATGGTCTTTGCTCTATGGTCTGTACTCTATGGTCTGTGCTCTATGGTCTGTGCTCTATGGTCTGTTCTCTGCTCTATGGTCTGTACTCTATGGTCTTTGCTCTATGGTCTGTTCTCTGGTCTGTGCTCTATGGTCTGTACTCTGCTCTATGGTCTTTGCTCTATGGTCTGTGCTCTGAGGTCTGTACTCTGCTCTATGGTCTGTACTCCACTCTATGGTCTGTACTCCACTCTATGGTCTGTACTCTGCTCTATGGTCTGTGCTCTATGGTATGTACTCTGCTCTATGGTCTGTACTCTACTCTATGGTCTGTGCTCTATGGTATGTACTCTACTCTATGGTCTGTGCTCTATGGTCTGTGCTCTATGGTCTGTGCTCTATGGTCTGTACTCTGCTCTATGGTCTGGTCTGTGGCCTGTGTTGTTTCTGTCGGCGTCAGCAGCCTCAGTCTCCACTAGTTTACATGGCTCTAGACTTAACCCTCTTGCACTAGACCTTTGCTGTTAAATGGACTACAACTCTGCTGGGACCTGTTCATTCAATTATCCACTACATTCTCTCATACTCTTGTCATTTCCTGGAAACTACATAAAAGTTCACTGCAGGGATGGCTGTATCAGTCTGTATACGACTGTGAGATCACCAAGGCTGATCAAAAACTGCTGATAAGAGCTGAATAGGTTCAATGGGAAGCTGCTGAGGAAGGTCCTCTGGATATTCAAAGAAAACTACCATTGATAACACAATGGTGTTATGGCTCAAAGACTATTGTTAACACAAACACAAGGCCTCCAGAGTGCCTAAGATTGGAGATATTATTGGACACGTTCATCATCTTTTCACAAATCCATTATGGACTTGTCCTTGCCACAGGTGAGCGCTGTATTGACGAGTCTGAATGTCACAGATGAGTTTGTTTTTGCAGATGAAACACTGCTGCTCCTGTCCTGCCCGATAGCTGCCAATACCTCCTCCCCTGGGACATTTGTGCTTAATCCATTTTAATTAAATGTTTTGCAAAAAACAAAAATTTGAAGGTGGTTTGGGGTTACAAGTATGGTCTGTATTTCAAAAGCTTAGAAAGGTAGATTGGGCTTTTCTGGATTAGGATAATAAACTAAACTAAAATGATAATAAATATGTTTTTGCCTCTGTGATCATAATTGATTGAGTTCTTCTTTATGCTGCTGAATCTGCTTTGTTGGACTTTAAGGTAGACCCTACTCATTGATAATTCTATTATAAATGCTGTGAAATATCCTCCACATAAGAACTGTGAGACGTGTTCTTTGCACCTGGCTCAGACAAAACACTGACTCGCTAAATCAACACAATAATAAAAACCATCCTCGTCCTGGAATGCGTCATAGATCAAAACAAGCCTTTGGGTTTCACTGCAGTTTATTCACGTTTTTATAGACCATTTTATCATCTTTGATACACACCCATATGATTAAGATTTAGAGATTCTTTATTTGTCCCACAGTTGGGAAATGTCAGTGTTGCATCACCAGTTACAGAACAGTAAGAATGAGGAGCACACAGCAAAAGATAAATGTCTGTACGCGACTCAATACTAAAATAGAAGAAACAAGTATAACATTGCTATCACTGAGTACAACAACTCTGACTTTAGCGGAATAAAGAAGTTAATAATAAGAATGATACACAAATAAATTAACCATTTGCTTTGGTTCAAGCCTTCTAACTTCTCCCTCATTCCTCGCATCACGATTCCGCAGACTGCCATTATTATGCAGGAACACTTGTTTCCCCTGGCTGAATATTTTAAGAGCACAATATTTAGTCCATGTTTATAAATTGGAAACCAAACCTGCTAGCATCTTTAATACAGACATAAAAAGTTCCATAACACAAAACAAATAGAGGCAAATAACACACAAACATACAATATTTACAACATTCTATTGTTTCTCCAATGCGTCCAGGTTTCAGAGGCCTAACACTGCTCTGTATATGAGAAGTAAAAACATTATCACATTTAAAGAGTCCCCAATCCGTTTCATGAACTTACAGATAACATTTCTGATCACAGCATCCAGAGCAGGGGAATTTCAGTAAAAGTTTGAGTAAAGTACCTTTTACACATATATAAAGTGTGTGGTAAAATGGATTCGCCTCTTAAAATATTTTACATTTTAGTTGCTCTTGTTTGAGTTTAAATGTATTAATGACAATGTGCAGCAGTACATTAAAAAGATGGCTGCACCAGATTTAGCTCTGTAGTCCGTGACAATACAATCATAACATTAAAATACAGTTTAGTAAAAAGTTACAAACATGACGACAGTCCCTGGTCACAATGTGCAAGATACAATATCATGAGTGTGCACATTACTGGTATAAGGTGAAATACAAAGTTACAGCACAGTATTTAGCAGCGATACATAAAGTGCGACACAATGTTCAAACAAAGAACAACACTTTCAGCAATGTGTGAAAGAATTCCTACCCCCATGTAAACTGCAGGGCTATAATCTCCGTGTTCAGCCCTGTAACCATACACCTGATTATTTTATACGCCGTTTTCACAGCTTCCAGGAAATCGAACAAGAGTTTGTCAAAATAGCTCTGCACGACCAGTGTGTTTAATTATCTCGGTCAATAAAACACTCATTTAGATTCATGAGAAGTTTTAAATGGTCTCTGTAACGACAATAGCTGTTTTACATATTTGGGCCAAACTGACTTTTTCAGGGCGGACACAGCATTTTTAAATCGTAAAAAAATTGCGATTTGATGGAGCCGCATTAAAGGTGTTAACATTTTTTTAAATTTGACGAAAAAGGCATTGAATTTCAAAGATCCTTTATTGGTCCCACAGTGGGGAAACAATACAATAACTATACTTAAATATAATAAAATATCTAGCTTTAGCATAATAAAGAAGCAAGTGTAAATCTTTAGATGAATGAACCACTTAAGTTATTCTCAAAATGATGCTGATGGATCTTTTAATCTCTTAAAATCTCCAACTTTAGCATAATGAAGAAGCAAGACCTAAGTATGAAAATCTTGATGTATTGCGTTTCTCATTCACAATCTGCAATAGAGATAATGCATTTATTCTGCTATTCATCTATTTTAAAAATACGATTGGCAAAAGTCACACTATTCTTGCAGCCTCAACTTGCATCAATACGTTTTTGGTTTTTATCGTGGTGCTGATCACGGGACTGAAGTGGCATGTGTCCTGTGCAGATACGGCGTGGCTCCAGAGAACATCATCCTGTATGGGCAGAGTATTGGCACAGTGCCCACCGTCGACCTGGCGTCTCGGTACGAGTGTGCGGCCGTGATCCTCCACTCCCCGCTCATGTCCGGTCTCCGCGTGGCCTTCCCCGACACCCGCAAGACCTACTGCTTCGACGCCTTCCCCAGGTACCAGCACCACACAGTCACAGCACGCACACTCCGCTAGGGCTGGAAAAAATGGAGAAGAAAAAAAATCTCGATAGACAATGCATATATTTTTACAGGATAACGAATCCCCCCAAAAACTACTGTAAAAACAAATTTGCATTTTTTTTTATTGAACCTAAAAGATGGTCCATTCAAGTAGGAAAAAAGCGCTTTTTTCACATCTTGTTTTATTTTCTTGTTTACAAAAAATGACCATTTAACTGTAAAATAAATTAAGAAATGAAACCTATGGCCTTCTCTTCATTCAAAACGACTGAACTCAAGGCAGTGCATGTAGTTAAAGAATATCTCAATATATCGTGAATATCGATATATCCCCCACCCCTACGCTCCACTGCTCTGCCTCTGACGGGTGGGCAGATATTTTACTGCAAACCTGGCAACTTGTCATTTGCCAAATCGGTAATGGACAAGCGTTACCTCCAATTTACATCAACGCTCATGGTGTGCGAGTGTAGCTGCGCGTCTCGTTTTAATCAACCTGACGATCTCCACCAGCAGCGAGATGGGCATGTGAAACGCCCTCGCGTAATTCCTCCCATCAAAATCGCTGAGAGTTCTAATTTTGCAAGTGTCAACCACGTGTATTTCAGGCTTTTCCCATCATGCACCGGCACAACAGAAGGGTTTACACATGAGTAGTATTTCTGTTGTCGTCTAAAGTCACAGTTAAGTTTAGTTTGCATCTTTTAAATAAGGGCGTTGTCTTAATCAATGGATGCAAAACACTTCAACGTAAATGTTCTGTATTTAGCACAATAGCTAAATGATATAAGGTAGAAACTGTAAAAACATTAAACACACAGACATGAAATCCAGGAGTCGTGGGTCTAGTGAAGCTATATAAACTCTTTGAAACGTCATTTTAAGAACTTAAAGCTGCACTAACTGACATTATTTTTGTATTCATTACGAAAGTGCTATCCATGTCCATGTAGTGCATTGGGATATACGTCCTTTTGAAGAAAAAGTAGCGCAGATTTGTGCTGCCGTGATGAAACAAGGAAGAGCATGTGTTTCGGGTCGCAGATTGTGACCAATCGCAGCGGACCACTAGCCCCCACTTTCGTGAGAAATCCACAGGTCCGTTAGCATAGACAGCTGCGTTAGCACAACAAGCGGCGGAGCTAACCTGAAGCTTCGTGTGTCTTCGTCACCGGTTACTGCTTACACAGCGAAACATCCATCCAAAAGAAAGTCTCGTTCCTCCGCGCTTCCCGGTTCTATCGTTCTATGGTCACGCCATCCACGTGCAAAACCATATCCATGTATTATCCATATTGGGAGACGCTAGCTCCGTCAACAACAGTGGGTGTGTGTGGGGGGCGATAGCTTCGTGGGTGCGGGGATGGGAGCAGAAAGAGCGAGGCCAGCGAGTCCGCGGCTTCAAAATCCCAAAGTCAGTTAGTGCAGCTTTAATAAGTGGTTCATTCATACAAACGCAGCTCCGGACACTGTATTAGTGCATAGCATCGTCCCTCGTGTGACTGGAGAGAGGTAGTAAAACCTTTATCTGACCCACATGTGAAAAAGGTGCTATAAAACAGTTTGGGCTTTAACTTTGATTTTTTTGTGTGTGGAAAAATCGAACCCTGTTAAAGTGTTGGTCTAGACTCCGCGTCATGTCGCACAGCCTCCGTGTTCCCAGTTTAACCTTTGTTAAGCCAGCCCTGAAACTGCGTCCTCCAACCATCATCGCACAGGCGCACAGACACCCGTTGGTGGATTCAGGGCCTTTAGAATTTTCAACAAGTGTATCTGACAAAAATCTTTTACCCATCTACTGTAGATGACTTGAAGTGATCAGGCTTTGAAATAGGAGACCCATATTTCAGTTCCACTAATTGTATGGATCATTTATATTTAGAATCAGACTATTTTTGCCATCAGTTAAACACAATACTATCATTTTTTCCGCAGAGAGAAAAAACGACTCAGAAATGTGAATTATTTTTTAGGATGGTATTCATTGTAATGCATTGTGAATGAAGAGATTTCTGAATAATTTCACGCAAAAATAAAATGTGACAATTCCGTATTCAATATTATTGCGATATAGCTCCTAACACATAACTTATTCAAATACAACAGAAAGCATAAATGTAATCCAGTAACGTAAACCTCAGATGTGATATTTAGTTTACTCTAGTACTTTACAATACTTTGCTCTACTGTATCAATTTAATTGCATGGAAAATATTGCGATACTGAGCAGAATCAAAAACATGTTTTCCTCCCCACAAATAAAAACCATTGCAATTGTTGAATGCCTTTGTGAATAAAGCGTTTGTGCTGTATTGTCACAACAGAACATAAATATTGGCTCATTTTCAACCAAGTCTCAGAAGAATCCAACTTTATAATAATTTATTGGTTGTTAAAACTGTACTCCTCCTGTGGGAATCCAAATTGGGATCTCAGTCCAAAGTTCATGACTCCGTGACCTCCACATAACCCTGTGCTAATCGTTCCCACCACATGTGCTCCTCTCTCTCCACCCGCAGCATCGACAAAGTGTCCAAGGTGGCCTCCCCGGTCCTGGTGATCCACGGGACAGAGGACGAGGTTATCGACTTCTCCCACGGCCTGGCCATGTACGAGCGCTGCCCGCGAGCCGTGGAGCCGCTGTGGGTGGAGGGCGCGGGCCACAACGACATAGAACTCTACAGTCAGTACCTGGAGCGGCTAAAGCAGTTCATCTCCTTCGAGCTCGCCGCCTCCTGATGACGTGGTCCCGGGACAAGACTGGATCAGGAGTGAATATTTACCACTACTGCTGTCCCAAACACAGCCATCTTCCCCCCTTTCCTCATGCCGTCTTCACTCCTCTCTTTTCTCACTCCTAAATGGACGCTTTTCTGTTCAAGGGATCTTCTCGTGCTGGTCAGTTGTACTTTTAGTTGGGGTCGACCGATTATAGACACAGATAGTGACCAGTATCAGATGATTTTTCTGATTCATTATCTTGCAGTTTGTGATTATTTTTTCATTTACATTGTTATCGTCAATTTCCAATCATTTCAATGTATTTTTTTGTATAGCCCTAAATTACAACAGTAGTTATCTCTAGGACTTTACAACCCATCGATTCGCCAACACAGATCAGAGAATCAAACCGTTGAAACACAGAAAATGCATTGATAAAAAAACACACATAGAGCCATTGGTCCATAAATGTGGTTCAATATCGGGTGTCCTGGATCGTCAAATCCTTAGTCTAGTCCAGGCCACTGGTCAAAACAACACTGATACAATTCAACACAATACAAACATGTCTATTTTCTAACCTACCTACTGTGCATGTGCCTCAACAAAGCGTCTGAGTAGTTTATTTTGGTTTACTTGGTTAAACTCACACATCGTCTGTTACCTAGGAGATCTCGCCACCTCTTTCACATCACTCCCAGTTCATACAGCCTTTTTGTTTTCTTAGATCTGCATGTGCTTCAGGCTTTCAAACAGAGTTAAGTCTTGGCGTTTGCATTATTCAGAATGTTTACACCAATATTCTCACTTTAACTACAAATTAAATCGGCCACTTAGACTCAAAATCATCAGTGTTGACCTTGAACACAACATCGGTCGACCCTTAATTTTTAGTTTTACCGGAGGGATTCATTCTGCTGTCCCTCCACACACCTGAAAAATCCTGGTTTGTTTTGCAGCTGAGCAGAATTGTTGTAAAAGCAGCTTTTTTTGTACATTTACAGCGTTTTGTGTTCTACCACAGAGCGTCTTATTGTCCGAGAACCCGAAAGTGGCTTTTGGCGGCAGTTTGACAATGATGGCCTCAACGCGGTCAATTAAATGATCCCAAGTTGCTACAAACTGTTACAAAACCTGTTACATTTAAGGCGGAATGGGACGTCTTCTCTTGTATTGGTCCTAAGTCATTTGTACTACTGCTGATTTGTTTGCACTCATGTTCTTTTGTAATGAATTCCTTTTGTTTTTGGGTTTTTTTATTGTTTAGGCGCTGATGCCACTATGTTCTAGGTGTCATTGTGTATCCAAGCCAATTCATTCTTCAATACCAATAGTTTTTTATATCCAAGGTTTCATACTTCATTCTTCACGGTGTTGTGGCTAATGCTACTGTTATTAACCAGAGCTGAAACTGAAGAAATATGTTACACTGACCTTGGTATTCGACTACTATACTTGGTACTGGCAGCTTTCCTTCGCCAAAGTATTGGAATATTAGATTAACTTGATCATTACTAACATTTTGTGTAGAACGCTGAAGAAGTGAAGTAAGATTTTTGATTTAACACTAATTGCTGGACTTCAACCGTCGAGATTGGAGTCAATGCATAGAACTGTGGTTTCATTGGTAACTTTGGTAGCTCCCCAAGTCCCAGACAAACTTGACCAAATACATGGGGTTTTGTCAGAGCAAGCCATTACTGCTGAAACTGTTTTAGTGTTTTGTGCCTGACTAACGTTTTGTTTTGTTTCAATGAAAAACAACTTTTTGCACCATATTTGATCGTTTTTATGTTCAGTAGTTTCGCTATGAAGGTTCAGATAATTATCAGTTATTTTGTCCATGTTATGTTTTTTTAAACATGTATCGATGGGTTTTAAAAGTAACCTCTTTTTATTTTTATTTTTTTGCGTAAGAATCTGGAGTTTGGGTTTGGGTCCATATATTCTCAGATGCCACGACTCATTTCATCTTCTCTAAACAAAGTACCCAAGCTGCCATATACGCTTGTTCTATTCTAATTTTAAGAATTATTTATTATTTCCCATATTTGCCACAGTCACAGGACTCGGCTCGTTGTAATGCTGCACATGAGACTTGTTTAGGTAGAGGCTTTGTGATTATTTGAGTTGTAGAACAGCAATCAAATCCAAATAATATATCACATTTTCGACATTAGCTTGACATTAAAGTGCATTGAAACCATACCAAACAGAATCTGGATACCTGCAAAATACCTTTGGAGAAGTCATATGGCTCATTGGGTATATTATTACTACTACTACCACTGTACTACTACTACTGCTGTACTATTACTACTACTGCGACTGCTACTGTTACTGCTACTACTGTGCTGGTCTTAATCTGATGCAAAACTCTTCTGCAAAGCCTTACGTTTTCTCTTTAGGAGGTTTTTCTGAAGCAGCTTTTGGACAGAGCAGTTCTGCTGCTGCTGCTTCCTCCGTCTGTCTCTGAGGACTTTTCCAAAACTCCACATGGGACAGACCCGGACAAGACCACGACTGGACTCTGGCCTGGAGCAGTTCGGCTCCAAACTCAAATCGATGTGAAGGACTGAGCTGTCAACGAGGCTGAAGAAATGTGACGATGAAACATGTTCACTGCAAAAATCAGTTAATTTGACAATCTATTTTGCGTAGATTTGGGCAGTTTTACTCTTTGCATCAAATATTGGGCTGGAGGCGCTGCAAAAAATAACATTACACCATAATTTTGTTTTCATACACAAAAAAATTAAACTGACAAATTTGTCAAATAATTATTGATTAGTTTTGTTATTGTAAGACTGAGGATCTCAAACCAAGATTATACTGTGCTGTAATTGTGTTGCATTGTGGGAGCCTCTGATGTAGATAATTTAATGTTCAATTGTATTAAAATAAAATTGGCACAGAACTGAGAATAATATTATTACAAAGTCTCAGTTAATTAACACTTTTAGAATTTGTTTAAAGAAACTGACATCTACTCAATATACTTTTGTCCCTTTGCGTCATTTAGACATTTTTGCAGTGTTGAAGGAAACTGGACATTTGATACAAAGGTTCTTTTTTTTTTTTTACTCTTTCAATGTGAATGTTTGTTGAAGGTTCTAACGTTGGTGTGATCTCAAACTGGAGCAGATCCGATGTGTCTTTATTATGCAACGATGCCGTACGTACGTGTGGGTCTGTGTCGACTCGAGCCTTAAGATTCTGTGATGAGGATTGTGCTGTTGCTGTTGGAACAATAAAGAATGCATGAAGTATGAACACTGGTGCTTTGTGTTTAGCTTCAGTGACTATAAAGAAGAGGGAAGTAACTAATGTGTCTGCGGATAGGTTTCCTCCTGGTGCTCCGGATTCCCCTAACACTAAAAACATGTACAACAGGTCTAAATAATGAGTGAGTGAATAGATGTTGTGGATTGGGTGCATCAAAGCCCCCAATCAACAAATGTAAAGTTCTTAGCGTGACCTTGATCTATGAAATGCGCTGTATGAATAAAGTTTCTTACTTACATGTGTACCCCAATGCCAGCAGAGACGGCACAAGTATCCTGTGCGGAGGAACCAAACAAAATCTCTCAGGGGTTATTCTTTGTTTGGTGGCCTTGTCAAATGGTGATTGTAGGTTGCAACTTTATCTTAGGCTGGTAACAAAAACTAAAATTCCATTAAGGAAGTATTTTTTTCAGGTCATATTTAATAATAATAATGTATTGGTTTTATATAGCGCTTTCCTGAACACTCGAAAGACACTTGACATGTCGGTATTCTTTACTCCGTACATGATGGTGATAAACTACAACTGTAGCCACAGATGTCCTGGGGCACAGTGACGGAAGCGAGGCAACCAGCATGTGCCATCCGCCCTTCCAACCATCTTCAACCATTTGCATTCTATACAATGTGGGTGATGTGTCTAGCCTAACAGACTGGCACTTCATAGTCGTGGTCGATTCATTGTGCCACTTGGTGTTTCCAGAGGTCTCCCATCATGGTACTAACCAGGCCCTGCCCTGCTTAGCAAATATGATTGTACACAAAATCATAAAGGGTCCAGAGTTGTCTTGAGTTATAGACAGACTTCAGTGGACGCAGGCGGAGATGGAACAGTTTTCAAATGGATTTAGATCTGGACTGTATGAAAACATGAAAAATTAAACTGTGTTTTTTTTTTTTTGCTACGCCATCCCGAGATCATCAAAGGAGAAAAATCCAGCTCCTTTGGAGGGATGCAATTTAGATATTATGGTAATTCCGACAAAAATTGTATTGACGCTGTTTGTGGACACATTGATTAATATGTACTGTCCTAAATTCAAGTAAATAAATAAGTTCAGTTGTAGACAAACCTAATCAAGAGTCGAGTGTTGTACGAGTTACAGAGGGACCTTCAGAATCGTGCGGAGATGGAACAAAGCCGCTTCAGCTTCAATGTTCTTCTGCTTGTGACAAACTGAGAGATTGTGGAGGAAGATGCACAAAGTGGCTACAGCGTCCCAATTCTGTCCCAATTTCCAAAGCACTTTAGACATCTCGTGGTCAATTTAAGGAATTTATCTGGATCTGGGAAATCCTGTCTCTTAGAGCTGTCAAAATCAATTTGGTGTAATGCAAGGTCAATGGTTTTCTGTGAACAAAATGCTCCAATGAAAGACCGGGCTTTTGAGAAATAATAGTAAAGATTTTACATTTAGAGGTTATTACTAGAAAATAATTTGTGTTATCTTGTGCCAAAGGAAATTAATGGTTCAAAAATAAAAAGTTTATGTGATCATTCTACTTTGTCAATGCTGTGTCACGTGGAACCCCTTTTGCACATCTAGAGACTGATCACTGCTCATTGGTCCTTACATAACGGATTCTCAGCAGTTTTTCGATTAGATTTAGGTCTGGACTGTATGAAAACTTTGAATTTTAACCCAAAATTATTATTATAAGCTGAATCAAGCACTACGTAGGACAACAGTACATTTTACAGGAGGGCATACTATCAGCATTTTGAGTTTATTATAGACAAAGATGTGGAACATAACAGTTAAGTGCACTTCACGTACCAAACCAAAAGCTCTATCAACCCCACAAGCACAATAAGCTACATTTAGTTTTCATATATATATTTGGTGAAAGCAAGCTTAAAAGTGTTTTCCTCACTTCTCTAGTTTCAAATCAATGCATTCTTGTATCTCCCTAAATCACAACAATAGTTCTCTCTGAGGACTTTACACAACCTTTAAATTCGCCAACACAGATCATCAGAGAATAAAAACAGTTCAAACTCAAGAAATGATATAACACACATTGTTATTGGTCCATAAGGGGCAGATGACCAAATAAGTGATGATAAATGTGCAGAAATGATGAATGTTGAGTGTCCTGGATCATCACCACAGTCCTTTTGGACCCTCTAACCGTCAGACCCTGCTGCATCGGCAAGGAACAACTAAAACCCACGGACACACGGGGGGTATAGATCCAGGACTTAAGCTGCAGTTTTTATCCTGTATTATACTGTGCCCACTTGTCCATTTAGACACTTTATATCTCCATTCACGTAAATCCATCCCTGTGTCATGGAGGCAGCAGACGCCCAGACCTCCCTCTCCTCACACACTTCCCCGGCTCATCAGGGGAATCCAAAAGCATTTCCAGGCCAGCTGAGAGACCTGGTCCCTCCAGTGTCCTGGGTCCCCCCCGAGGGCTCCCCCCGCAGGACATTTCCGGAACACCAACCATAGGCATTACAGTTTTTCTCAGTCACTTTGGTGCATTTTTCACATCATTCTTCACATTTGCACAACTGTTAGTGCACTTCAAAGTGCATCACTTTCTCAAAATGAAAAGTGAATTCGTCAAAAGCAAGTCTTCATGTCAATGAAACTGTCTGTGTCATCAAAATAATATGTCATAACAACACTGAGTATGAACAATAGTCAAATGACTTAGTCATGTTTTCATTGTGAAAGTTCCCTCTCTCTGTGTTTTCAATGTAAAAAAGTCAGATCTCGGTGACACTTTGTGAGCAGTAAACACTGTACAGACCAAAACTACAGCAAAGTTACACATGACTGTATTTAGTGAGGTAACTTAGTACAAGACTCATATGTACTGTATGTATGTATGGGTGTGTGTCTGTGTGTGTACTGTATGTATGTGTTATGTGTGTATGTATGTTTGTATATATGTGTGTATCTATGTATGTACTGTACATATGTACTGTATGTCTTTCACATATTTACTGCATAATGCTCTTTGCAATTCTACAGCATCGTGCAACAAAATTACAGTCACTTAAAGCATTTACGTAGAACAAACATACATATCATTGTGGTAGAACTGTGACAAATGAAAACAATAAAACACAACTCAACTCGTCAAGAGTGAAGCTGAAATTCACCTGAGAGAAATTGTTTGATTTAGGAAAGATTTACAGGAAAAAAAAGATAAAGAAATGTATGAAATTAGGTTGACAAATATGATTTTGAGAACTATTCAACAATTTTGTATGTAATACTAAAGCGATGAAATGAGGACTATTGGTTTAATAGAGAATGACTCTTCAGAAGTCATACGTATGTTTCATCCTGACTGACAGGACAGAAGCAAATGATAATGTTTTAAAACAGCAGAGAATTGTATGAAAGAAACTGATACATGTCCAAGAGCATTTGTAATCTGTTCAAAGGCAAAACCTCTACGATGATGTGCACCAATGACTCAATGTTCTGAAGGTTGAACTAATAGTTTTGATAACTTTAAGTCTGAGAAATGCACCAAAGCGACTGAAAAAAACTGTAATGGAACAGGTGACTTTACTTATAGTTTACCAGACTTCCCTAAAGTCCGCACTGAATATTCCAAAGTTTAGTTTTAATTAGCTTTGTGGACACACGATTGCCACGCACGCACAGACACGGGGCAAGTTTAGGGACAGGCAGGTTTATTTGTATAGCACAGTTCATAAGGTAACTCCACGTGCTTAACCCAAAACATATAAAAAAAAATACAAGGCAATAAAATCATAAAAAAAATCACAGTACATTATAAAGAGCGCAGATACAATCCTTCAGTTGTATGCACAGCTAAACAAAACTCACGCACGCATGCACACACACACACACACACACACAACCACACACACACACACACACACACACACACACACACACACACACACACACACAGTCATCACATAGTATGACTAGTGTAAAAATCTCTCTGCCATATTATATCAACCCAATGCTGTCGTGCTCCTCCATAAAGAGACGTAAATGAAACACTGATCCGCTGTAAACCCTCTCTCTCTCTCTACAGGTAAGCCGAAGCCGCAGCTCGAGTGTCAGGGCTCTTCTGGAGTGACCATCGCTGGCTCCTCTGGCTCCTCTGGCTCAGCCCTGTCCGCGTCTGACAGCGCACGCCACAGCCTCACGCGTGGATCTGGGCTATGGGCGTGTCCTGTGGAGCCGGGGTAAATAGAGAGATGGCATGTTTGCGCGCTCACATACCCCCGACGCACTGAAGAGCCAGCTCCACACGGACGTCAAGACGCACCGCTGGACCCGCAACTACCTCC